CCTTCCCCGCGCACCTTCTCCGCGCCCGGTGCCCGCAGAGGCGCATTCGCAGGAGCAGGGAAGGGGCCTGGTGCTGAGGGGACTTTTGTCCCCTCGCCTGGCTCCCAGCAGCGTCCCCAGGGTGCTGCTGTGGAGGCGTCGGGCCCTGCTGGGGAATCAAAACGGGAATTAGGCTTTCCCTGCCTGAAAGTCCCCCCTGCCTCCCTGCGGCTGCGGGGCGGCCTTCCCCTTTTGCAGTGTACGCTCTGCAGGGCGCCCTGCCTCGTGAAGCCTCACCCGGCTCAACTGGCACCCAAGGAGGTCAATGCCAGCCCCTCCTGGCCCCAAAAAGGTACTCTTCAGCTCGCTCTGTGGCAAACTGCTGCAAACAGCGACAGAGAGTTAGGGCCTGCTGCCCTGCCATGGCTCACTAGCAGAGGGAAAGGGCTTCCTGGAGGCCTCCCGCTAAGACCAACCCCCACCTAACCAAACTGATTTAAAGCAGACCAAAAAAACCCGCTTTTGCGTTTGCTTTCCAGCGCTTCTGCCTGTAACGCTCCTGTTGTCTAGCTCCTAGTCTGTAAAAGATTGAAATTTTCTGTGTGTGCAATAAAAGGGAAGGAACCGCCACTTCACAGCGTTTTCAGAAGCCATCCTGACATCACCAGATACCATCAGCCCCACAGCAGAAGCACGAAGCCCGATAATGCAAGTCTTGCAGTGTACACACGCACCAACAAGCACAGCCCCTGCCCCAGAGGGTTTACACACTTCAGCGCTCACAAACAGTCTCCCCAAGCCCGACGGGACAAGTGTCGAGGCTGCAGGCAAGCATCAGCACCAGTGGTAGGAGCCTAAAACCTTAAAAAATAGTGTGGGAGGAAACTCTAGTCCTAAAAATATCAGTCGCTGGTGAGCGCCTGGGAGGGAGCTGTGCCTCCGAGTCACCCGCTGCTTTGCGTTTTGCCTCTCGCCTTTCGTGGGCTTTGCTCCTGCTTGGTGCTGGGCTCTGCCACCACGCCAGGCTGACAGACTCCCGTGTCTGCACAGGGCTCGCCTGCTGACTCTGCCCTCTCGGGAAAGATGGGAAAGGGCTACAAGGTGGTGGTTTGTGGAATGGCCTCGGTGGGAAAGACTGCGATTTTGGAGCAGCTTCTCTATGGAAAGCATACTGTTGGTGAGATTTTTTTACTTTTTTGGGGGGATTGTTTCCTTTTCCAGCATCTTGTTTTGTGTGGGCCCCAAAAACCAGGAACGATGGACCGTGAACTGCAGTGAGGTGAAAGACGAAATTAATGTGGTTTTGTTGAATCTCTGGGCAGTTTTTGAAATTTGTAATTTCAAAATTACTTACTGATTTTTAAAAGAGACTTGGAGAAGAACTCTTTCCGTGATGTTCCCAGTTATAAAATACATGAATGTTTGAAAAGAACAGAAACACAGAAAGTAGGTGATGTGCTTGCTGCCTATTTACATAAGAAATGCCTTGTTCCCTGAAAGATGCTGTAGATGCCTGAAAAATAAATAGATGTCACATGTTGAATGGAGAGACTGTTTAGACTTCTGGTCCGTCTTCTTGAAGCTTTATTTTGGCTAATATTTAATCAAAGCACCAGAAAGAAAAACAGCTCGGCTTTAGGTCCCATGTTCTGTGGTGAACTTCAAGGGCCAACCTTCTCAGCTCTCAAAGAAATTCTCCTATGGCAAACGGACTTGAGAGAGGAGCATGGGATGTCTGAGACTTGCTGTGCACAAAAGAAAGGGAATGAAGGCAAAGCCAGCTTGTTTCCCTCTGTTTCCACATGACTTGGCTTTGAGAGGAAGGGCAATGATCAGCAGGCTGCCAAATTATTCCTGCCTCCCCCCGAAACAGGGAGTGCCACCAGGGATGAATCCCAGGGCTTTGACAGAAGATGTCTAGTCAGTTTGTATCTTTTCCTTGGGCCAGTAAATTAAATGTTGGGGTAAGTTACTGGATAAACACTAGGATTTCTAGAACGGTGCTTTGCAGGCACTGTGCCTTTAAAATGTGTGGATGGGAGGAATTTGCTGGCAAAGCATGATACAGAACTGCGTGCTAATACCCTTGTTTAAAAGGAGGATTTCCTCTAATGTTGCAGCAACGTCTGTTTCCAGCGTCCTACCGAGCCCTATGCACGTAGCCCCGTGTAGCTTTCAGTGTGAAGGTTGCAAAACCTGCAGGCTGAAGGTTTTCCCCTTTGCTGCCGACGTGCCTCTCCTCTGCGCTGGGCTGGGTGATTGTCAGAGGCACCGGAGCAGCATGAGCAAGGCCACGTTACTTGAGTCCTATTGCCTTGCGTTACTTCCTGCCCCGAGCTCCTGTGAGCGACCCGGGCAGGAAGGATATTCGGGTGTTGCTGATCGGAGGAGCTATTTATGGAGCCAGCCATGTACACGGTTATACAATGTCATGGATACTGGCTGATAACCGGCGGGAGGCCTCATGCATGGGGTTTAGCTGTGGGTGTCCCTCTGTCACTCCCGAACACTTCTCTCCAGCTTGGCCATTGCACGATGCAGACTTTTCCCCTCCTCTCTTAAAAAGATCGGTTTTTCTTTCCCACAGCTCTGCTCTTATTGTTTGGAGTTAACAGTAGGGGAGGGAGCAGCTGATAGAGGAGGGGGATGCAAGAGGAGAAGGAAGGAGGTAGTCTCCTATTTTCTATGATTTTGGTCAAGTCTCATTCCCAAGACATTTGGAGAAAGAGGGCAAATAGCAGAGTCAAGATCAGAGTCTGGAGAGGGCTCATGCACAGCCATTGCAGCCCCAAGGAAAGAGCACCCATGGCCCAGTGCTTTTGGTATCACTCACATATGCCATCAGGCACGTTTTGGGGGATGGATTGATATGTTGGTGTTTCTGGCAGTCCTGCTGAGTGGTCACTGTCCTCCCTGCCTCTTCCTCAGCCCAAGGGCAGTTCTGGCAGAGGGTGCCTGAAGTATGGGCTGGTGAAAATGGTTCCCAGAAGATCTTTAGGTACCGCTCCAACCTGTATTGATTTAACCCTCAAACTGCAGAGGCAGGACACCACTGTGAGGATCTCATTGGGCAAGGATGAAGTTTGAGGAATGGCAAGTCTTTGATTGCTCCTTAGCTGAGCTGCTTTAAGCTGTATAGACCAGTTGCTGGTGCTGCTGCTGCAAGGGTGGACCCTCCACGCTTAAAACATGATTACTGAATCTCGATCCTCATTTCCTAAGGCTTGCGAGCTGACATGCCCATCTTGGCTGCTGGCCTTTTTGGCAGGAAGTGAAAAGGACTAGTGTGTTTGCTGAAAGCCTGTCTGTTCAGAGCCAACCAGCAAGGGAGCTCACCAGGTACGGCAACATGGACACAAGCTGTTTCAAAACCTGTGCTTCCTGACTGACGTCAAGAGCAGCTCTGCGGATGGTCCGAGGGCCAGGGAGCTGTGGGGAGGACTGCCGAGCCAGCACGTGGAGTCTGCCCATTCCTGACGGCATCCACAGCCTCCTCCCAGTGACAAGAGGTCTGCTCAAACTTGGTTGTAGACTCAGAGTACAAGGTCTGGTGACATCCTCTGAGGTGTCCCAGCCACGGACATGGGGATCTCCTCCTAGCTGTAAAGCAGCCATGACGCTATGTCAGTGCTCACGTGCCTCCTGTTGACTTTCCTGTAAAAAGGAGTGGTGGCACAGCAGCTAACAGGGAAGTGATTAGTGTCCTTGGAGGTTTCATGCTGCTATATAAAGCCCTTGGCATTGAGCCCATGCTCCTGGCTGTGTACTTGGTGATGGTGCTGTAAACTCAGTTGCACTCTGTTTCTTTTCCTAGAAAAATGTGCACCTTCAGATTTCCCTGGCTTGTCATGGATGAAGTCCCTAAGTGCGGCCGTTGCTTACGTGGTCAGCAGCTAGCACTCTTGCAAAGGCACTAAGATGACTTGAGGTCAAAGAGGAAACAGTACTTGGGAGGGAGGAATACCTCCTGAAAAGGAGTATCTGTACCCCTGGAGCATGTAACCAAAAATGTGTAGTACTGGGCTATCAAGGAATCAGACAAAACCTGAAAGTAGGTGTTTCAAACGGGTGCAGATTTAGCTTTGAGTCATGTAGGGACTACGTTGCCATAGGTCAGACTTGCACATATGTGTACAGTTGCCTGGTGCCTGGGATGATCTCTCTTTTTGTGGCTTCAATGTTGTGTTTGTCCAAATCCTCCGCCTTCTCTTGCACTCCTGAAGAAAGAGGGGCCAGTCTTCCCTCCTCGGTAATGAAATGGGTCCTTGACTGGCTGTAGAAGATTGGCCCACTAAATACCTGTGGTACCTGGCACTGCTTGGCCTGAGCTCTTGAGAGGAGAGTTGCTGCCTTAACTTTGGCATGGGACATGTCTGTAAAGAGGATAGGTATTCTTCCTTAAACAGTGTCCCTGTTCAGCGATGGTGCAGAAAGGAGTCTTCCTTCTGCCTGTAAAATATCTCTGGCCCCTCAACCTATAGTAAAGCTTATCAGCTCAACCGGCAGAGATGAGAACTCTTCCTGTAGAAAACACGATTTTCCTTATCTCTGCCTCCTGGCTGTGTAAATAGCTGGTATGGTCAGGTTATTCATAAGCAGCTACTTTAAATCATCTTACCTAGCTAGGAATGAAAACACCATATATTACTGTGGTAGAACCTGTAACGAGAGAATCTGCCTCGCTTCATCTCAGCAGGAGGGATTTGGCATTTTGGCTTTCACAGCTCCAAATATGTGGAGGCGAATTAACCAAATTACGCATTCTTACATCTTTGTTTCTTAAATCAAAACTACCTCCTGATAGAGCTGCAGTCAGCTTTGCATTTTAGAAACAGATGAAAACAGAGCTGAATGTATGCGACTGAGGGTCACAACCGTGCTTACTGGTTGCTGGGACCAGTATTTAACCAGCAGCTAAATCTGAATAGACCAACTCCTGTTGAGGCCTGTCCAGCTCTTCTCCAAGTTAGCAATCCTCTGACATGCCATCATCTGCAAAGCCTGTTATCCCGCAGTTTACAAACACA